GGGGGGGGGGGGGGGGTTACTCAATTCAACCGTTGCATCGGCTAAGAGCATCGTCGCGGTAGGTGTCAGCAGGCAGACTACATCGTACATAATGTGTCTGTAATCGCGTTGTGGACCAACAAACCGAGAGGCAAATGACAGCACCGTCTTGATTCGTCTATCTCGACTGCAGCAGCAGCAGCAGCAGCAGCAGCAGTAGCAGCAGCAGCAGCAGCAGCAGCAGCAGCAGCAACCAACAAGTACAACAGCAACAATAGCAGCAGCAACAACGACAGCAACACCTCCAACGCACCTCGTCAACCACCGGGATGAGGCAACGCAGATGGTACTTGCTGCCGCACCCCTCGTAGATGCACTTCACCATGTCAGTCACGGTACCCCGGGTGTTGCACACCTTGCACTGCGTCGCCGACATGCGCTGCTCGGGGCGCGGGGAGGGCGAGGGGGGGGGGCGGGGGCGTACTCTTATATAGAGTATGTTTTTGCATGCCTTAGCGGTTAGACCATTGACCACGCGTCCTCGAGAGGACGGAGCATTGTTCCCACAGGACCGATCACCGATGGCCAATCGTTCCTTACTTTGCCAAATGTGGCTCAAAAATGTCTTCGCTAGTCTATCTATCCTACCGTTATCACTTACCACCTTTTCAACCCAGCTACTTGGGGCGGGGGAGGGGAAAACGACATCACCCAACGACGGTGACACGACATCCACGGCCGCAAGAGGGGCAAAACGAAAACCGCCGTGCTGTTCGTGTGAGAGATCGCCACCAATAAAAACATAATCGGAACTACTTTACGCGTAGGACAGGTCAGATCCCTACAGGGTTTGCTGGCCTTTCAAAGTTTATCATGCCCCTTGTGATCGGTAGGACATGGGTGATCTAGTGTGTATGTTGCTCCATAGTAGTCTGCGTAAGACATGGGTAACCTAGCTCATGAGCTGTCCTACGTGTGCGTAGCTTCTTGGTGAACTTTATCACACCACCTGGATTTTTTACGGAGAGAGACGGCCCTCGTTTGAGAGCATGACAACTAACAAACCCATAGGCCCAATATTCCAGACATGTTCGAGACCTCGAAACCCAATTACACTGCTCCCGTTCCGTTTCCCCAGAGTTGAAGCAAGTAACATGCTTCGGGCAGAGTGGGCGGTTCTTAAGAGGGAGTCACCTCTCCTCTGACCAACCCCCTTAGAACCTGCATCCACAGGGAGAGGTGGATTTCTTAAGGGTTTAAACATAATTAAAAATACAAGGAGACGCACGACGAGCCTTTCGTGTTGCCGCTGCAAGAACTGACCTGACACCAAAAGTCGCAAACAAAAAAACAACTCAAAAAAATCATGCACAGGGGGTAGTATCGTACCTTCGAAATCTCAGCAGGTTCCTCCTTGGGCGTACTAGTCTCCCCCCGCACTCCTCTCGCCGCCGCCGCCTTTGTCGCCATCACCGCCCTCGACGATAATTCTTCTCTGCCGTTCGTCTCCTCCACCCCACCTCCCGCATCCCGCTGCTTGCGTCCGTCGAAATCGGCATCATCATCATCATCCCTCCGCATCCCCGCACCGCTGCCGTTAGCCTTGACCTCCGTTTCGCTCCCGACGGCAGCCCCCGCCTCCGTACTTTCCGCCGCTCCAACAGCCCCCTCCACGTCCATCGCATTCACGCTCCTTCCCTTCGGCAACCCGCCTCCCGCCTCTCTCCCTCCACCTGCGGCACCACCACCGCCTGCCGCCTGCTGCAAACCGCCGGATGCGGCAGTGGGCCCGCCGCCGCCATCACCTCCTCCTCCTACCGCCTCCCCCAGACCCTCGGTCACGGTCACGGCCGCCTTCTTCGGCCCTTTTTTCCCAGCCGCCGAGCCCCCCGCCCCCGCAGATAACACATCCCCCTCATCGTCGGACCTCTCCGCCTCGAAGATAAGCTCGCGCAGGACCGCGCGTCGACGGTACCAGTCAGCCAGCTTCTTCTGCAGCCGCTCCGCCCACCAGCTGATTGGTAATGATGTTCGGCATCGTGTTGAATAGTGCGACGACGGCGCGTGGGCGTGACCGCAGCGTGGCATTTATTTCACGTGTGTGGAAACGACAGGCGGGAGTAGGGGTGACGAGATAAAAAGGAGAGCGTTCGTTGCGTTGGCGCATCTTGAATCTTGCTCGGAAGGGTTCAAAGCTTTCAGCAAATAACGATTGCCTACAAAAGCCCCTCGCAGCTCTCCAAATCCCCAAACACCCGGTCTTGCCTTGCTGCAAACGTACCTAACACTCTTCACGCCCAACCAGACAAGACACGCATGTGCACACATGATGTACACCTGCCACAAGCCAATATACACAACAATGCGACACGTCTGGTTCACGTCGGGAAGACGAAAACGTGCACCCGCCGATCGCTCCCACAGTACCCGCGGTAGGCGTTCGACGAGAAGGAACCAACAACACGTTATCAAGTGGTCGAACTAAAACGGTTGTTTCGATACACAGTTGAAGAGCGATTGGAATCCAAGGTGAACTAAACATGTAATAGAGAACGGGCGAGACAAAGCAGCGAAGGACGAGAAAAACGAATCAAAATTGCTATTTTCGTCGTCCATTTTATACTCCTCACCTGTACGGGTACTTCAGCTCTCCTGGCTTGAGCGCCTTGAGCTCGCGGCCGGTGCAGAGAAGGCGCGAGAGCACCAGAGACAGTAGCTCGTTCTCTTCCGGCCTGTCGGACGAGAGGGCCTCCTCCAATGCCTGCATCTTAACCTCGAACCCACGTCCGAATCTGACAAAAAAAAAAAAGGAACACGCGTGATTGAAGCGGCGGCGGCGGGTACTCTGTACCTATGGCCAAAGGAGACGTCGACATGGGGTGTTGTGTGCATGCACTTGTGGCTTGATGCGCATCTGGGATGTGACGGGTGGAAGGGCCCAAAAGCAAGCAACCTACAGTATGAACCCACAGCAAGCACAAAAAATTGAGGTGTCAATGGACACGTAGACCTTTTGCAGTGGCAAACACAAGCCGCATCATTAAGAAGGCAAACACACGAAAACAAGGAGCTTGTATGTTCAAACATGCGTTGCATGTTTGAACATGCAATGATAGCGCGGGTGGCAACATTGACCACTGCTTGTAGCTTCACACAGAGCGGAACGCCGTCACTTCTGCGGGCCAGAACGCGCTCCCGACTGCCACGCGCGACGACGCTGCTTGCGGTCTGTACTCGTTCCCACTCACTTCATCATGGGCGCAGAAACGTAGAGGAACATCCCCGCGGCGAGAAGCTCTCTCCCGCCGATCGCTGGCCAGCCCTTGTAGTCGAATCGGTACGGCGGGGGGGGCGGCGGCGGCCGGGGCGGCGGGGCGGACTTGGCCGGTTTCTTCTTGGAGGCCGGCGACTTGGCCTGAGACTTTGGCAACGCTGCTGCGGCTGCGGCGCCCTTTTTCTTGCTGGTGGACTTCCCGCCAGCGGGAGTCGTCGTCGTGGGCTTGGAAGGCGACATCGGTTTGGTCGACGGCCCGGCCTTGAAGACGTCCGGGGCATTCCTTCGTTCAAAATTTGAATTTTATACATTGCAGGGAAGTGCCATCAGTACAAAAATGTTCCCAAGGGCGGAGAATTCCAGGTGAAAAGCATTGATTTTGGAAGGGCGCGTAACAGCGACGGCGTAGTCACAACTGAGAGGAGAACGTGTAACCAGGCCGAATACAACAAGTCCCAGCTCTACTGCGGTGGTGACAGGCATCCCCAAAGGGAAGGGTGCGTGGTAGGTGCGGTGACTGCCTGGCGGGTTTATGCTCGGAGTATACCGATGTGCTTGACACAGCACACCGGAGTGGAGCACGCACGAGGCAAGAACTACTATTATCATTGAAACCTGCTGTTCAGTTGTTAAGCAACGATCACCCCCCCCCCGCCACCGCCGCCCCCGTCTCCCATCCTGTGGTACACCGTTCTCTCACGCACCTTATCCTCTTTGGGTACGAGCCAGTGCCGCCTCGGATAGGGCTCGACCCATGCTTGTTCTTGGCCGCCTTCTTGTGAGACTTCTTGCTGTCGCCGGAAGCAGATGTCTCCTCGCTGCTCTCGTCCGCCTCGCGAACCTTACGCTTCTTGGAGCTACTGCTACTGCTGCCGCCACCGCCACCGTCCGCCTTGTTGTCGGGGGGGGGGAAGATGGAGCGAGGCCTTCCCCTGCCCTTCTTGCCGTTGAAGGAAGGAGCAGTCGCGGCACGGGAGGGCGTGCTCCCGTTCAACCTGGACGTGGCCTTCTTGGCAGCCTCTCTCGGGACGACCGCGAGGTCCACGAAGTCAGCCAGCCTCTCCTGCGCCTGCACGGATGGCGACAAGTGGTGGTGCTGGTGCTGGTGCTTCGCCTTGCCCGCGGCGGTCGCGGCCTTCTTGTTGGTGCTGCCTTTCGGCCTGCCCCTAGGCCGCCCGCGGGGGTTGGTCATTGTTCAAGAAAGTCGACCGTTTCTCTTTTAATTGAGACACCGGACACACCTCTGGCAAAAGTCTACCACAGAGACACCAGTCCAATGCAGACACGAAGCCCAGCGGAAAAGGGCAATCTCTACGCAATCTCGGTGTGGCTGTTGCGCTGTGAGCCGGAATTGCCAAGGAGAGGGGCAGCAATGGTGATGAGATGGAGGCCCAAGACACATAACCTGCAACGCAAACGGAAACGCAGGAGGGGGGGACGCAAACGCAGGGAACCGACGGAAGGCGAGGGAGGGCCTGTCTGGGGCGCCGTGTATCCTCGTAAGATGTGTAGCTATTGATTACGCCAGACGCCACGCCCGGCTAGACATCAACAGACATGGCGAGTCTCATGGCGGAGGACGGTCAAGATGGCTTCGGAGGGCTTTTTGACGGCGCGAGCACAAGGTTTAAACTACGCTTGCACACCAAACTATGTAAAGTTGCAAGCATGCACGAAGAAACATCCTTAGCAAGTACTCGTTTTCAAATTATCGATTTGCGGAGTCTCATCCATCTTGACTGCTGTGGATACTTCACAACAGCAGTGTGATAGTCCAATGTTTCCATGCACTTGCTTCTGTTGCGAATGCGCATGACGACATGACGACGCAAAGCTACGCGTAATGAGGAAAGTATGATGTCGACACTGGTAGTTTCGACTTTCCATGTAAGTGGGTCGTTACAAAACTCCCTCAACGAGACAGCAGTCTACGTAGACTAGACTAGATGTCTCATGTTCTTGTGATGATCAACTACTCCAGGCGCAGCTGCCGTCTTTCCAACGGAGAAACGAGAACCAATCACGCAGTTTGGGCGCATCGCATGGCATGATCAATCTTTGGTCTGTTGCAAAGGCATGTTTTGGTCTACAGATAGTGTTGTTCTTCGCCGCCATCGTTGTCCATTTGCCGCCGCAACGGGATACAAATCGGTAGACAGCAGGCGCCCCGAGACATGTTGTTTACGGCACATCGACCGTCAACAATAGACTAAAACACTCGTCCATTGCGACGGCGAGAGAGTTTTTGCAGAGATCCCAGCCGAATCATCGAACCCGCTGGAGATACACACACACACGCAGTCAGCAGTGTACTGGCAGGTAAAGATCAAAGAACACGAAGCATCGTCAGTTCAGCCAACCAATCAATCGCACCCCCATCCTCTAACCTGTCAAACAATCAAATCCACAAATCCTCCCGACTCAGCGACGACGACGACTCTGGAGGAGAAGAAGCGGGCCCGGCGCTAGTGGAAGAGATATACACCCGAACACCGCCGACGGGATCGGCGGGGGGGAGGGGCGCACTGCCGCCGCGGCCGTCGACCCTCAGACTTTCCCTAGTTAACTCTCGCCACAGCCTGTGGGGGCACCGCTTGTGGAACGCCGCTCTCCTTCTCGCAGGTATGTATGCAGACATAGCATACATCGGGGGCTGTAGGTGCACAACGGTTAGCCCCCACACTGAAGAACCTCTTGTGTTGGCCACGCTGTGGTTCTTAGTTCCTACATTGTGCTAGAAATGGCCGGTAGATAGGTTTAAGTGCAGGGGTTCTTGACCGGACTCACAAGTGACTGGTGCTCAGGTTCTCATGTTTTGAGTTCTTCGATGCTACAGCAGTACATTCTTGACCGGACTCACAAATGACTGGTGCTCAGGTTCTCATGTTTTGAGTTCTTCGATGCTACAGCAGTACATTCTTGACCGGACTCACAAATGACTGGTGCTCAGGTTCTCATGTTTTGAGTTCTTCGATGCTACAGCAGTACATTCTTGACCGGACTCACAAATGACTGGTGCTCAGGTTCTCATGTTTTGAGTTCTTCGATGCTACAGCAGTACATTCTTGACCGGACTCACAAATGACTGGTGCTCAGGTTCTCATGTTTTGAGTTCTTCGATGCTACAGCAGTACATTCTTGACCGGACTCACAAATGACTGGTGCTCAGGTTCTCATGTTTTGAGTTCTTCGATGCTACAGCAGTACATCAGTTCTGAACTGTCAAGTGCTGGAGTGCAGGTGCTAACTGCTGTAGACGTTGTGCCTGAGCACACAAGTTCCACCTCGGAGCCGGCTGTTGGAACCTCAACTGCTGCACCACCCCTGTGCTGCGACATCCAACGGCTACTGCATAACAGAGGGCTTTAGTTTTGGCCTTGGTATTGGGATTCCGCGTGCTGCGCAGGATCCCGAGCACACCGATCCTTGTGTTCTCCTCGTGCGCCAGGATCGACTAAATGGCGCGGGCGCGTTGCGTGCAGCTCTCACCAACATCACCCTGATCAACTCAAACGTACAATTTAACACCGCGAAAGTACTGAACACTTGCCCCGCACGATCGTCCGTCTTCGTCTCGTCCGCCTGCCGACCGATGCGCGAGTGTGTCTTACGACGACGCGCTGTACCCGATCGACACACACGCGCACTAAGACATGGTGGACAAAGATGAATTAGACGTCCGGGGCAAGAGAGTTCTCGAGCTCGGGGCTGGGGCAGGGCTGCCATCGCTCATCTGTGCGCTGGTGAGGAGAGTGGACAAAACGCTTGTTTCACGCTTTGCCTTGTTTCGCCCGCAGGAAGTCGCGGTATCTGTCCCGGCGCGTGCTTACATCTGAACTCGTTTCCTCCTTCCCGAAGGTGCGTTGAAACGCGGGCTTATTCGCTCATGCTGTGTGTGTTTCTCGTCTGGTGTGTGCATGCCACAGGTTTGAGCGTGATTATTTCTGTATGCAACGACGTATTTTGGACCGACCCCTGCTCTCTGCCACAGCATAGGCTTTGTTGCCCGGCCGGCCGTAGAGCGGACCATGCGTGTGCCGTATTTTCGTTCTCATTTCGTTTGATCACCGGCTCCCCCTCCCAAAAATTATGCCCCCCCCCGGCCCCCCGGTGTTTGCCATCGGGGTTGGGTTTTCGTCGCTTGGCAACGACGTTGTAAAACAAGCCGCCCC